TCATCTTGTATTGCTTGAACCATTTGAGGTAAAAGAGGTTTCCAACACGCATTAAGCGTTGATGGTTTAATTTCCGCGCAAGCCGATGACACGGTTCTAATACAATCTAAAATAGAAAATTCCATCCACACTTGAGTAAGAGTTTTATTTTCACTATTTTCTAATCTGTCGAAAATGGTTTGGAAAAGTTGGCGTGCATAGTACATTTTTAAAGTTTGAATGACTCCTTGGTCCAAAGGTTGTATTAATGACGTGCAGTTAGGAGGAAGAAAGACAATTTTCACATTTGGGTGGTCCAGTTCTATGTTGTGGCAACCAGCGTTATCAATAACCAATAAAACTTTGAAATACAAATTTTTTTCCATCGTATAGGTTTCCACTGCCGGGATAAAACAATTATAAAACCAATCCTTAAATAAATCTTGAGTCATCCAAGCTTTCTTATTAGATCGCCAGAATACAGGCAATTGGCTCTTATTAATGTTTTTCATTACACGGGGAGTTGAAGAACGATTTATTATCATGGGTTTTATCATCAGGCTCCCTGATAGATTGCTGCACACATGAAGGGTGATACGTTCTTTTGAAGGTTTAAACCCCTGAGCACGCCTTTGATTTTTCGAAATGAAGGTCCTAGATGGTAGTTTTTTCCAATATAATGCCGTCTCATCGGCGTTAAAAATCTGATCAGGTGAATAACCTCCTTCATTGATAATTCTAGCTAGTTCCAGCTTATAATTTTCGGCAGCCTCAACATCTGCTGAGGCCTGTTCTCCTTGAAACTTAATATTGTGCAATGTGTACCTTTTTTTTAGTTTTTCAAACCATCCTTTACTCGCGACAAACGAATGATTTTCTAGCCCTGCATAAGAATGCCCAATATTCCTTAAATGTTCGTAGATTTTAAGTGCTTTCTGCTTGATAAGATTTCCACTGATAGGAATCTTTTTGGCTATACAGTCTTCCAACCAGATCATTAACGCCCGTTCCATTTTAACCATATTAGAATTTCGTGTGCGAGTAACACGTTTCGCACCTAACGGACAGCCATCTGCCACAGTTTTCCTTATATTATCTGCATTTTTCTTTAAGGTTCGAATTGTAGATTCATTCAAATTTGTTGATTTTGCAACAGACGATATTTTTTCCCCGCCTTCTAAACGATTTAAGATTTGGATTTTATCTTCAAGCGATATAAACTTTCTTTTTAATCCTTTCCTTGTTTCTTTTGTGTTTGACATGATGCAAATCTAGGGTTAATAATTACTTTATTATTATTATATTAGAACAAATGAAGAATATTACTTACAGTATTGTGTAATGTTGTCCAATTATAAACCACAAATTAAGCAGCAAAAAGCTGAACGAATGGACGGTGCAGACAAAATTTTAGAAAGAATTGGTCATCAACGAGACGTACTGTGAAACAGCTCTGAGACGACTGAAACCGATGCCGTAAACGGCTAAGACATAAGCAGAACGTAGTTTTTCTATAGTTCACGCGACAATGTAGTCAAAAGATCACATATATATCTTTCATGTTACAGTTTCGTTAGACACACAAACGCATGGCACGCTGTCGATGCGAAACTATTTAGTTAATAGAAGTGGAAGATAGCGCATGAGGAGCCCCACCCGTGGACAACGCTGATATAAACATATCCAGTTAAAACCATTCATTGGGTGCACGGAAAGAACTGATGGGACGTTGTTGAACGGAAACCGCGCTGTAAGAGTACCGCGTTATAGGAGGGCTGTCGCAATTTCAGCTCCGCGTTATATGGAAACCGCGTTCTGAGAGTACCGCGTTATAGGAGGGTTGACTGTACTCTATCATTAGCGGCACTTTTGCATGAATTTTATCTATTTTAAAAATTTCACCAGCCATTTGAAGGCAATGTTTGCAATTTTGCCAAATTATTTTGTCATAATGTCATAATAGAGAAACTATAAATTTAACGATATTTATAAACGTATTCTGCAGGTGCAAATAGACTACACATTTCCTCGCTGGGTTATTACATATAAATATTTACGCGAAGAAACTATCAAAGAACAAAGTCTGATCATCGGTATGAAGAAGTAGGAACTGAAACGAGAAAAGTTTGCGGAAGAAATCTCGGCATGGAGTAGCCTCGCGGCATGTATAACTCGAATGAAATCGAATTTAACGATTTCTTTAAGATTTCGGATGTATCTATTTCTCAACATCACCTGCTCCCGTCCCCGGGACGGGATACGAAGTACTAAATGGAAAAGAAGCGACTAGGGGTTACGTTTAACAAAGGTTCAATGGAATTCAATTTCAACTGGAGATGTTCGAACCTTCGAAGCTACACCCGCGACTTTTTCCGACGTCTCACTCTTCACAATTATTCGATCGTACTTTTAATTTTATTTCTTCCTCTAATATCTCCTTTTTCTCTTTTTCAAATCTCGAATACGTTCACGTTTGAAGAAATTATCCCTTCGCACATTCGTAAGAGAAATATTTGCAAAATCTTGGCAACAGTTTAGTCAAATATATGTCTTCGCTATAAAATTGGCAAATATGAAATTTAAGGGAATTTTTGCAGAATTTTATTCACGATCCAAAAAGTTGATACATTGCCGACTCGAAATATAAAATATAAAATATTGAAGATATAGGAAGGTAAATTTAACGTGTATCGAAGATATATTTCTCGAAAATTTAAGATACAGTGTCTTTTTGAATTTATTGTAGTAATACGAAAATATTCGAATTTTAAATTTCTCGGAAAAACACTGTTGAGATCAATGCACTGTTTGTGGTAACATGGAATTTTAAATCTGGACTGTTTTATATTTGAGAAAAATTGTTATTTTTAGAGAAAATCCTATGCATGCTCGATGAGATTAGAAACGTGCAGAACAAGAGCAGAGACTATTAGCACCACAAAAGGTCAGCAAGATAGCGAGTTTGACGATGCTTTACGGAAGAGGTATCTACGGTAAGGACAAATCTCCATCGCTTCCCCTTAATCCTATTTAACTTTGCACATGCGAACCAGAGTGTCGATGCTCGCAAGTACGAACGAAGTCGTATCCCTAATCAGAACTTCCGCTTGCTGAAATTAATTTCGACGTGGCTGGAAACCGTCTAAGTGACATTAGGCTATTTTTGATTAGGACGAGAACTGATTCAATCCATTTGACACGTATTCGAATATACATTCCAGACAATTTCGTACACTAAAAATTCCGAGTTACCGGAAATAATACCTACACAGCACTGTAAAATTATTACAGTAAATATGGTAAATAATAAATTACAGAATTTTTATAGAATAAGTATTATAAATAATTTTTAATATTAAAAATTTCGAAATATCGAAGATGTTACCTACATATCCTTGTACAGTTATCATAACAGTTATGGTAACTAACGAATGTCAAAATTTTGTGTTAACCGTATTTCATTTAATCACGTATCATCATTTGCTATCGTTTATTGAAAGTTGTGACTTGCAACTGATAGTCTTTTCTTCTCAGTCATCGTGAGATAAGATAACATATTACTGACCTTATGCAATCTTAAGTCAACGAACATATTGGAAAGATATTAAATTCTGAGCAAAAAATATTAATTATTCGTTTCTTCCAGGATAAATACAATTTGTACTAATTACTCGTTTATTATGCGATATAATGCAATTTGTAGTCGTACGTTACTTGAAACAATAAGAGAAAAATTTTTGGAAAAATCGGAAAATAAATAGCTTCTTCATATCTAACGTTTACTTCGTTATCAAAGTCTGAAAATATTATGCTTGCAGTATATATTTAAATATACATATAGCAAGAGAAGCGTTATATACTCAGAATATACTCTCGAGCAAGTAATATCCTTTTATCGGATGTTGATAAAAAGTTATTTATATCGTAAAGAGAAAACCTACAGCTAAATGGTACTTCATTCGAAGATAAAATTAAAAAGAAGCTGCTGATCTTGGTAAAAAATAATCGGAATTTTTTATTCCTTCTATCTTTTTAAATTAATATTAGCATTTACAAATGCTAATGACAAAAAAGATTCGATGAGATTCGAAAAGATTCGCTTTCGATAAAATCCTGAAAATAAAAATTTGATCGTGGAATGAAAATCTGAGTAGAAAATCCGAATAAAAGAACTGCAATTACTGCACGATAATTAAGATACATTACATGACGAATATTCTTCTCTTTTTTCTCTTGATAATATATAGTTAATTACCCGACTTAATTATAATTATCAAAGCAATAATCTTTTGTAGGATTTGATAGTACAAATCAATTTGCTATGCAATCTGAACATTCGAAAAGTACCGATAGGGAAGCAATTTTCTTTAATTCTCTGAAAGTATCCTGTACAGTGTGCACTCGCAATAAGAGTACTCGAAATTGCATTCAGCCTCTACTAAGAATAAAAAAGGTAAAAATTCTTTCTTTGGAAAGCAAAGTCCATGCACATAATTTTGAAATACACACAATCGATGTAGCACGATGTCATGCAAGATTACTTGTTATGAGCATCATTATCATGTAATTATAACAAAGCAAGTCATCCTTATATTTAACTCAGCCAACTATAGTAAATCTACCTTACCCTCGATAACGTAATCGCCATACGAGTATAATCTGAATACATATATTTTGGGAAACAATATTCCAGATCTTTAAAAGCGATTACCCAATCCCATGTCTTCCGACCTCCAGATTCAAAATAGACACGATAGAGCAACCATAATTTGCCTAACGAAACGCACAAACACGTGAACCCGTGTATCCTCAACTCCTTAACTAACCAATTTCATGATTATAAAATTTTTATTTACCCGATCAACTTTTTATATCTGACGAAGACTAATCTCTGTCTGTTTGAGAACAGTCGGCCTATCTAGACTTGGTTAATCTCAAAGATATGGCACAGCGGGCCAATGATTGGTTGGTCGACACGCAAGCAAGTGTGAAATTAAGCATATAAAGCAACAGAAAGTGTGTAAAGTCAGTCGTCGTATGATAGAATGCAAGATGAATCGTTGGAGCGGAAAGGTAGCGATGGTGACCGGCGCGAGTAGCGGCATCGGTGCCGCGCTAGCGAAATCTTTGACAAGTCAAGGAGTAATAGTGGTCGGCATGTCGAGAAGATTGTCAAAGCTTCGGGAATTATTTAGCACGGAAATCGGCAAGAACAAGTTTTACCCGATCGAATGCGATGTCACGAAAGAGGAAGATATCCTGAAGGCGTTCAAATGGGTGGAGAAGGAGCTCGGTGGCGTTGACGTCTTGGTGAACAACGCTGGAATCAACACGATGAAACCTATCATAGGTAAAATTGTCAATGTCGATTTTTTCAGTACCTTATAAGACATACGTGTTATTTTCGATCTTTGATTCGACCTTTTTCTGACCTGACAGTAAATTACACAAGGTGATCTGAATGTACGTTATAAATTACTGTACTGTGTTTGTATCACGCTAAGTAGTTTCTTGCTGAATTACATTAACCCTGAAACATGTATTAGGTTCTATAAGTAGCTATTTTCATTCGCTCATTTTCATAAATAGTTTTCATGTGTTTGATAAAACGAAAATGTTCTCAATAAACGATGAAATCGAAAATCAAGAACCACTTATATATCAGTGATTTCGCTAGTTTTAAATAAGAAATGGAAACTATTTAGCGTGAAAAATGAATGATTTCAAATTAACGATGGATTAATCTATGCAAGCCATGCTCTTGGTCATTTTTATATCCTACAAAATAGAAATATTCACGAGGAAAAATATTTAGCCTTTGTATGAACATGACTGGGTACATGACAAAATATTTTAGGTTCGCGAGTCGTAATCATATTTTGATAAAGTTATACCAAACATTTGCACTGTCATTCTGCTACTGAGTCGTAATTTTTATTCGACTTAAGTCAAAATTAATTGCGAAATGATAATAGACAAGAGAAAATATAAGAGTACTATCTGTTTAGCCGAAAAATTGGAGTTTTATTAGATGTCAACAAATATGTGTTAGCGTTGATAATAAATTTCGCGTATATTTAGTATTATAAGTTACATTTCTATTCGCGAACTCTTATCGTCTACGAATTACTGTTTCATTTCTCTGATTAACGGAATTTATATTGCATACGCGTATTCGAATCAATTCACCGAATTCAATGTCAATAACATGATTATTTACGTAACAATATTATTATTGAGTATATTACTTAATAACAGCGATGAATTTCCAAGCGATTTTCACAAAAAGTCTCTGCTCTCTATGGGCAACCTGTTGCTCGAAGATGTTCAAAACACAATAATTTCACTTCCCTAGAAACCATTTCTAGTCGCTTAGACTTAATTGATGTTAGTATCTGATAATGTAAAATTTGAAACAGAGATAATAAGTGTGAACAATAATCGTAATCAGGAAAGGAGACGTATTATATAAAAACAGACTTGTCATAACAATGAGTAAAATATTATTGCAAACCGGAATAATTATGAACAAATCGAGGAATGTAATATATAATTAACCGCTAGGTCAACTGTTACGTCTGTTAAGTCAACTATTACGTCTGTTAGGTCAAATATTAAAGATTAAAGTTTGATTTTCTCAAGGAACTTCTATCCTCCCTGTTTCCAGACTCAATTTCATTGAAAGCGAAGGCTCACAGTAAAGAAGAAGAATTAAAGGAGTAACAAAGATAAACTTGCAACTTTAGATTACTTGTCTCAGCAATTGTACACTTTTATGCGACACTTTACACACCTACGTGCGCAACAAACACACAGTATAGTCACCGGCGTTGTTTTACAGCGATCATCGACCGTGATCACGATGGCCATCATTTTTAATTCAACAGTTATACGTATAGCAACCTGCATTCTTTCCTTGCGACCGAAAATCGGCGCCATTACATAAAGAATACTCAATGATTTTCCTAACCGAAGTTCCATGACCTCAAGTTATCTTCCTCGATACTCTAATTATCTTGAAATTATCAAATGATTTCGATCATTTCCAATAGTGATGAGAATAAAAACTAAAGTTGAAACCTTTAACTTCTTCACAGTATCTCATTGCATGAGAATCTCATGAATTTTTAGCGGAGGAAGAATCGACGACGAAGTGAGTCACGAACCTTCTGTTGCAGAATCGAATAGCGAAGAATGCCGTAATCTTATAGAGACCAACCTGATAGCTCCGGCAATTTTTGCACGAGAAGCCATACTCTCCATGAAGAAACGTAACGCAGCCGGTCACATAGTCAACATTAACAGGTACGTACTTCGATAAAAATGGAAACGTGTGCCAATCATAGATACACGGATATATTTGTGTACGCTTCTTACCAGAAATGTCAAGAAATATTCAAATGTGCAATTTTTTCGCTCACATCTCGACACGACCTTTGCATGTTTACACGATTTACAGCATAGCTGGACAATTCGCTGAAAGTATAAGCGTGCCACTCGGCATGTATTGCCCAAGTAAATATGGCCTCAGAGCTCTGAGTACGGAACTTCGACACGAAATCACAACAGCCAAATTGAACATCAAAGTCACGGTAAGAAGTCACGATTTGCTAAATCAACAACTGTCTAGCAGTCTAGAAATTTCTTCTCACTTCACCCTTTAAATTTATATACATCTAGTTAATTGTTAAGTAGTATTAAATATTGAAAGTTTTAAATAGAGTTGTACATAAGAAAATATTTACAATCGAAAGTATTAACCTGCAATCACCAGTTTTCGAATAATTTACGATTATTAAAATTGTGAAAAAATTGTTTTAAATGTAAAATTAAGCTACTCTGAAGAGGAAATTACACTAATGAGAAATTATCATAGCTCTCTCATACCAGTAATAATATTATACGGGATTCGTGACTTCTTCTAGGAAACCTGTATTTAATATCTCATATACCTAATTCGTGTTATACAATCCGTGTAATTGAATCTATCTGCATTTTACACCGGCAATTTAAAAATTGAAACGATACATTGTGGAACTTTTTGATTTTATATTTCCACAGAACATCAGTCCTGGTGCTGTAGATACCAACATGGTAAGAAATTTAATGCCAAATATAGACTCCATGTCTGTCCCAATGTTGCAAGACATAGACGTCGCCAACGCAGTCGTTTACACCTTGGGTACACCTGAAGGTGTGGAGGTAAGATTAAATCGATATAAAAATTGTTTCAGAAATTAAAATTTCTCCTAAATCGATGCAAGATCAATTTTCGACAAAATTTCCCTTAAAAATCCTACTACGATACCAACGCGAGATATCTGATTATTGAAAGAGAACTTAATTATTTTAGAATTCTTTGAATTTCTTATTTTCTAAAAATACGATAAATTATGCTACTAACCGATGGAAAAGCAGCACGTTACAAACATACTAAGCAAATAGAAAAAAAATAATTACTAGTAGAAACTAACATGAACACCAATACTTATCTACAACGACACTGCTCGATTCATATGTTCATGTGAATAATGTTGACAGGTTTCCGAAATTACATTAACGGCAAAGAAGTAAATAATAGGCATCTCGAAAGAACTCACGCGGTAAGTTTATGTACTTGACAAACATGTAAATATAATCAATATAAATATAAATATGTATAACGTGAACGCATTTTAGCCATGCTAAGGAGCCCAAAAGAGATCGACATGACTGGCTAGCTAGAAAAACACGATGTGATTTATGGCGATAGAAAATAGTTAGGACAGATACTTGAAGAAATTTGAAGAAGTAAGTTATGTTTGATATAGGAAATATATTTGAAATATATTATGAACATGATATATGAATATATTATGTTTTATACATGAAATAGTTTACGTGCGATTTCCTTATAACATTTTGTAATTAATTTTTATCTCCTGTGTCGAGATAAAAAATAAATGAAGATACGTAACATTATGATTGATTGATGTGGCGATTGATGAAGAAACTGTGTTTTATAATACGTATGCAAATATATTATAATATATTTTCCTTTTTACTACAATTTCCGTATATTATTATTAAAACTTTAAATGGGAATAATCCGAAACAAATTGAGGTATACATTCCATGCTGATTAAATAATTGTTATACAAATGGTCAATTTAAGAAGAAACATCTAATTTGTAAAACAAATAAAGCCAATATGATTTTTGAATTGTTTTATAATATATTTCTGACCCATGTCTCGAAATAAAGATCTAAGCAACAAATTTTCCAACATTTCTGATAAAATCTCAATAGGGATTGTCAACATAAAAGAATTTATCAAATCCTCATTGCAAAAATTGTAAATTATAGTAAAAAATAAAAAAAATAGACAAAACCTTGCTGATTATCTTTTGAACTTTAAAACTGAACGACTGCTGAAATTCGATTTACAGCAAAACGTAAATATAAAAATAGTGACAAATGTGAGTATAGAAATTTTCTGCTTTCGCTATAAACGATATCGAATGCAAAGTCGTGGATACATTATCTATACTGATTCCAGCATGATATTAAAAAATGATCGATAAATTCTGAAGTATGATAAAAACAAAATACTTTGACTTGTCGAGCAAATACAAGAAAATATCGACGTATGATTAATCTCGAGAGCTTCTGACCTGATTTTTAAAAGACTTTTAAGATGTAATGTGCAAAATTGCTTCTATTAAAAGATCTACCTACAGAGAGGGAACATATTTTTACTTTACATTATTTTACAAATTTCGAATAATTACTAGTAAATTTTTATTTTTATTTTCCTTTTTTACCATTAATTTTATACCTCACTGTAATAATTTTCTTGTAATTTTTCTAATGGGTTAATCCCGTATAAATAAATAAATAAATAAATTTTATAGATTTTATAAATTTTAATAGATTCAAACATATATGGAAAATTCTATTTTATTCCAACGAATTATGAAATATGAATTTACGAAAATAATAAATACGTGAAATATAAAAATAAAATGCTGGAATATCGATTTCTTTGCGAAAGAGAAGCTAACGAATAAAGAATACAAAAAGAAGAGAAACACGAAAACAACTTTTGTAAAGCAAGCAAAGATTAGAGAGGTTTTTGCTTGCTTTCCCAGAGGATCCTACGGTTATCCTTATAGAAACTCTGTAGCATACTCAACTTACTCTGAGTAGCATACATTGGAAAAACTGAGAGAAGTTTAAGCACACAAGCTAGAAAACAACGTGTAACGTGTGAGGCCATCAAACGAGTTAAAGATATCAAATTCAATTTAATAAAAATGAATATATAAAAATAGGGAAAAACACATTTTTCCGAAATATAGAAACACGAGAAATAAACGAAAAGAAGCAAATACAAGCTATGAAATTTAAATCAGAGTATATTTAATTCTTTCATCAATTCTTTTGATTTGATAAATAATAATTCAAAGATATAAATACGTGCTATTCCCGACACATGTAAAGAAACATATTTTCCCTATAGCTTTACTCTAAACCCAGAATTCTTACTGTGTCATGTGCGTTTCAAATATACTCACGATACAGCATGTTATCCTGACATTGAAATCACAGATATACAGCGAATCTATCTATAAGTAGGATAACGCAATCATCGCTCCCGAAAAATACATATGTCCCTATCTAGGAAAAAAATATTTCACAGCTTCGGACATACGAGTTCCGATTTTCATTTTTACTAATGCAAAAAGCGATATTCAAATTGAAGCCATGAACGAATTCCTAGAAACCAGAGAATAGAAAAAATGTAAATCTCATACAAAGCAACGAAAAATATTCCTTTCACTATTCCATCCAATTGCTCTGGAAAAACGTAGGATACTTGTGCAATCTTCAATGCCAATGGAAATAAAAAAGAACAGTATTTGCATCTTGTAAGCACACTATTACACCCATGAAAATTATTACACAGCCTACAAGTATACACTATCAAAACAACGAACTATCCTCTTTCCTTACTCAACTATGTACCCATAATTAATTTCACGGCATTAGCAAATCGATCCCCGAATTGATAAACTCCATAAAATGACATTTAAAAATCCAACTTAAATACGAAACATCCAACATCGATCAAAAACCTCGGCACAAGGATTTACCAAAGTCACAATCCCCATTCCACGCCTTGCGATCTTCGAATCCGATCAAACAAGATCCAACCATAAATCGCCTATGAAAACACGTAAAAATGTCTACCTGACCACCTTCACAACCATGAAATTCGTAATTACTTGACCGACTATTCTACGTCTGACGAAATGACTCAGTCTGTTCGTGACAAGAAACTATGCGTGGACATGGTTAATCTAGAAGATACGCTGCGCCATGTTGCTAATTGATGGAATCAATTCATAGCAGAGCCTGAAGTTACCCATATAAGGCAACGGAAGGTTGCGTGAGCAGAGTCAGTCCGAGGTACGTCAGTGCACAAGATGAATCGTTGGAGCGGAAAGGTAGCGATAGTGACAGGCGCGAGTGTCGGTATAGGTGCCGCGATAGCGAAATCTTTGGGAAGCCACGGAGTAACAGTGGTCGGCTTGGCAAGGCAATTGCCAAAGCATCGGGAACTTATCGCGGAAATCGGCAAGAACAAGTTTTACCCGATCGAATGCGATGTGACAAAGGAAGAAGACATTCTGAAGACGTTCAAATGGGTGGAGAAGGAGCTCGGTGGCACAGATATTTTAGTGAACAACGCTGGAATCCTCACCTTAAATCCTATCATAGGTAAAATTGTCGATGTCGATTCTTGCAGTACTCATAAAGCATGCGTGTTATTTTCTATCTTGTTTCGTTCTCTTTCTGGCTAGGAAGCAAATTACACAAGGTGATTTGAAAATATAATATAAATTATTGTATGTGCTTCGTATTACTGAATAGTTTCTTGCTGTATTAGACTGGTCGAGAAACATATACTGAATTTTATAAGTACCGATTTTCATTCAACTGAATAGTTTTGATGCGTTTGGCAAAACAGAATGTTCGCAATAAAAGATGAAATCGAAAAACAAGAAACAGTTATCTTACCTTACCAGTGATTTCACTAGTTTTAAATGAGAAATAGGAACTGTTTCGTGTGAAAAATGAACGATTCTAAATTAACGATGGATTAATCTATGCAAGCCATGCTCTTGGTCATTTTTATATTCTGCGAAAGAGAAATATTCAAGAGAAAAAATATTTAGCCTCTGTATGAACATGATTGAGTAAATAGCGAAATATATTTTTATTCCATTTAATATTTTGAACGAGACCTTATGTGTTAAATTCGCAAATCATAATCACATTTTGAAAAATTTATACCAAGCATTTGCACTATCATTCTACCACCGAGTCATAATTTTTATTTCATACGATTTTCTCGAGTAACTTCTATTTTCTATGTTTCCACATTCTATTTCATCGGAAACTAAAGTCCATTGTAAAGAAGAAGAATTAAATGTTAAAGAAGAAACTAAACTTAACTTGCAACTGCAAATAACTTGTGTCGAGAATTGTACACTTTTATGCGACACTTTACACGCCTATGTAGGCATCAAACACACAGTATAGTCACCGGAGTTGTTTTACAGCGGTCATCGACCGTGATCACGATGGCCTTCATTTTTAATGCAACAGTTATTCGTATAGCAACCTGCATTCTTTCCTTACGATCGAAAATCGGCGCCATTACATAAAGAATACTGAATGATTTTCCAAATCGAAGTTCCATGACTTCAAATTATCTTACTCGATACTCTAATTATCCTGAAACTATCAAATGATTTCGAGCATTTCCAATAGTGATGAGAATAAAAACTAAAGTTGAAACCTTTAACTTCTTCACAGTATCTCATTGCATGAGAATCTCATGAAATTCTGCGGAGGAAGAAGAGGCGACAAAATGAATCCCGAATCTTCTGTTGTAGAATCGAATAGCGAAGAATGCCGTAATCTTATAGAGACCAACCTGATAGCTCCGGCAATTTTTGCACGAGAAGCCATACTCTCCATGAAGAAACGTAACGCAGCCGGTCACATAGTCAACATTAACAGGTACGTACTTCGATAAAAACGGAAACGTGTGCCAATCATAGATACACGGATATATTTGTGTACGCTTCTTACCAGAAATGTCAAAAAATATTCAAATGTGCAATTTTTTCGCTCACGTCTCGACACGAACTTTGCATGCTTACACGATTTACAGCATAGCTGGACTATTCGCTGAAACTTTACCCATATCACTCGGCATGTATTGTCCAAGTAAATACGGCCTCAGAGCTCTGGGTACGGAACTTCGACACGAAATAATTATGGCTAAATTGAACATCAAAATCACGGTAAGAAATCATGTTTTGCGATACATCCTTGTTTATCAGCTTTGAAAGCTATTTTAAACTGCTGGTTTTACGATTAGATATGTTAACAAAATGAAATATTATTAAAATTGTCTAAAAATTTATTAAAAAAACAGATTCAGCTTCTCTGAGGAGAAATTACGCCAATGAGAAATTATCATAGCTCCCTCATACTAGTAGTATTATATGAGATTTGTGACTTCTTTTGAACAACTCGAACTTGATATCTGATATACCTAATTATCCGTGTAATTATACCTCTCTGCATTTTAACATCGGTAATTTAAACAATGAAACGATACATTGTGGAACTTCTTGTTTTTCTATTTCTACAGAACATCAGTCCTGGTCCTGTAGACACCGACATGATAAGAAATGCATTGCCAAATGTAGACACCAAGTCTGCCCGAATGTTGCAAGACATAGACGTCGCCAACGCAGTCGTTTACACCTTGGGTACACCTGAAGGTGTGGAGGTAAGATTAAATCATTTTAAAAATTGTTTCAGGAACTAAAATTTCTCCTAAATCGACGCAAGATCAATTTCCGACAAAATTATACAGAAAAATCCTACTACAATACTAATGCAAGATGTCTGATTACTAAAAGAGACTTTTAGCTATTGTGAAAATACGATTTAATTCTGCGGAGGAAGAAGAGGCGACAAAATGAATCCCGAATCTTCTGTTGTAGAATCGAATAGCGAAGAATGCCGTAATCTTATAGAGACCAACCTGATAGCTCCGGCAATTTTTGCACGAGAAGCCATACTCTCCATGAAGAAACGTAACGCAGCCGGTCACATAGTCAACATTAACAGGTACGTACTTCGATAAAAATGGAAACGTGTGCCAATTATAGATACACGGATATATTTGTGTACGCTTCTTACCAGAAATGTCAAAAAATATTCAAATGTGCAATTTTTTCGCTCACGTCTCGACACGAACTTTGCATGCTTACACGATTTACAGCATAGCTGGACTATTCGCTGAAACTTTACCCATATCACTCGGCATGTATTGTCCAAGTAAATACGGCCTCAGAGCTCTGGGTACGGAACTTCGACACGAAATAATTATGGCTAAATTGAACATCAAAATCACGGTAAGAAATCATGTTTTGCGATACATCCTTGTTTATCAGCTTTGAAAGCTATTTTAAACTGCTGGTTTTACGATTAGATATGTTAACAAAATGAAATATTATTAAAATTGTCTAAAAATTTATTAAAAAAACAGATTCAGCTTCTCTGAGGAGAAATTACGCCAATGAGAAATTATCATAGCTCCCTCATACTAGTAGTATTATATGAGATTTGTGACTTCTTTTGAACAACTCGAACTTGATATCTGATATACCTAATTATCCGTGTAATTATACCTCTCTGCATTTTAACATCGGTAATTTAAACAATGAAACGATACATTGTGGAACTTCTTGTTTTTCTATTTCTACAGAACATCAGTCCTGGTCCTGTAGACACCGACATGATAAGAAATGCATTGCCAAATGTAGACACCAAGTCTGCCCGAATGTTGCAAGACATAGACGTCGCCAACGCAGTCGTTTACACCTTGGGTACACCTGAAGGTGTGGAGGTAAGATTAAATCATTTTAAAAATTGTTTCAGGAACTAAAATTTCTCCTAAATCGACGCAAGATCAATTTCCGACAAAATTATACAGAAAAATCCTACTACAATACTAATGCAAGATGTCTGATTACTAAAAGAGACTTTTAGCTATTGTGAAAATACGATTTTGAATCGGTGGCTGGGAATTCATTAAATTTCTCGTTTTTTAAAAATTCGATAAATTAATTGCTACTAACCGATGGTGAAACAACACACTACGAAATATACTAAGAGTACAGAAAAGTTATTACTAGTAGAAACTAACGTGAACATCCGTTTGTTACGTATACTGACACTGTTATATTTCGACATTCATGTGAATAATGTTTGTAGATTACCGAAATTACGCTAGTGCCACAAAATCAAAATTTAGGTGTACCAAGAGATTTCCCCCGGTAAGTTTACATGCTCGACAAATATGTACATATAATCAGCGTTAATATAAATATGTATAACCTAAACACATTTTAGCTAGTCACAGAGGTATGGACGAAACTTTGACGATTTAGGAAAACACAAAGATGTTTATGGTGACAGAAGAAAGTTAACATACATAATTGAAGAAAATTGTGGAAATAAAGAGGCACGTTAATCTACGTTTCCCTCACAACATTCTCTAATTGATTTTTACCTTGTAGTGTATTAATTTACATTATTCAATTGATTATCTTAAATAACAAGATACAGAAATTGCTGTGAACGAAAGAATAAATAGAAATGCAGTTTATTTGTCTGTTCCCACAGATATGCTTATAATGATGTTATATCCCTAATTTACTATTTATCTCGACAAACCAGATATGTTTAAGCACATAAGCTAGAGAACATTGTGTAACCGAAGACTATCAAGCGAGTTAAAGATTTAAAATTCTATTTGATAAAAAGTGTATATCGTCAATAGGTCGACCGCAATTGGCGACGGTTAATGACGACCCAAATCTCTTGAGGAACTTGTATTTTTAGTGAACTGTATATTTTGTGATTATTCCGGTGAACTCCTCTGATCTCTTTGAATGTTATTTGCTGGCTGGCTGGTACTGACTAAACTCACTTGTGCGATGCACGATCTTTCGGAGCCCATGGTTTTCAAAGGGAAATCGGTTTTCCTATTGGTGGTTGACAGGACCGAGGGTGGGCCCTCGGTCCGCGAATCACATGCCCCCAAAGAAGGGAGGACCGTCTTCCGCGACCAGGTCTGCCGGTGGAGGAAGCCTC